TTTACAGCAGCTCCTATGTTTGCTATGGGCAGTAATTCTAAAAGTATAAAAGTAAGTGCCATCATCAGAACCAAAGAGCAAAGGGAAACATAAGAACAAATAAACATAACCAAAAACAGACACAGAGATAAAGGAATAGGAACAGAGAAAAATATATTATATGTGAGCATAGGAATGGCTTTTTTTAGGTCTCATCAGAGCAAAATGGAATCTTTCAGTTGACTTCAATGGATAGTCTGATAATACCTAAGGACTGGGGGCGGGAGGTGGACCTAGAACAAGACACAGGCTGTTATGTCAGAGAATCCAGTAATTCCAAAACCCTGAAAATCCCTCAAAGCTCTTCTTTTTCAGAGACAACTCTACAGATATAAGTCACCCTTTAACCTCAACAGATGGAAGGATTTCTGTATCCCTTCCTATCTATCTCAACTCTTTCCCTGTTATGCCATGTCCTGGCCTGTTTTTTTTCCCCCTTGTTTTCAGTTCTGGACTTTCTGATGCTAAAAGAGTTGCTCTCTTGCTCCAAGCTGAAGTTGGTTTGCCTATCCTTAGGGTCTGGTCACAATTTTTAGAGCATTCAAGCTCCTTTCTTGAGCTAGTCGGTATCCAGAAAAGAAAGACATTGAAGGACCAAGAATAAAGTTTGAAACAATGAATTAGAATTACTATGAATGTTCTAGGGCAAAAATGCCAAAAATCTCCAAGTAATGGGAAATTAGAGCTGTGCATTCCTAGAGTTCCTGGAACATTGCTCTTGGCTAAAGAGTAATGAATATAAAGCCACTGAAACTTTTCTGATATTCAAAAGAAGTGTATATCTCTACAAATTTTTTGTGTGTTGTATATTGAGAACCAGCTTTCAGACCACAATAATGGCTTCTAGAACTAACAGATGATGCCTGATTTCCCCCCCTTTTTTATTTATTTATTTATTTAATTTTTTACAAAGCACTTCTCTTTCTTTTGAGAAATTAATTTAAATTGCTTTAACCTTATAAGCCCCTTGGGAAACGGCATTCCCATCTGAAACATCTGTGCTGTTTTCACTGGAGAAGAAACAGCTCTTTTGCATAGTGTAACCAGAAAAATGCATTGTTGAAAAGAGATACATAATCTGTCTTTCAAAAAGAGCTGCTAGACAAAACCAGACTGCTGCATGTTGCTGTTTCACACGGTTTTATCAGTGCATTATGAAAAATATATACTCACAGTCTCACCTAAAAATAAAAAAACCCTGAAATATTGGAAAAAATGGGTACATTAATCAAATAAGTAGATACTAAATATGAAAATGTTAAATATTAAAATGTTTTAACTGGAAAATTGTCTGTCCAAGATCTTCATTAAGTAGTCTTAAATGAACACTGTTTCCTCATTAATTGGTTATATTATTTTTCTCTGTTTTATCCTAACCTTGAAAATAAATATTTATAGGGATTGAGAGGAGTGTTAATCTGCCAAATGCAAGGAAGAAATTCTGGAAATGCCTTAAGCTTCTATTACGGTCTCATGAGATTTCCAGCCTATTTATGTAGCACAACACCTTGTATAAAATTTACATAAAATTCCAAAGATTGAGTGACTATCTGGCTGTAACTTCCAGCTTTAGAAGATGACTGGTGTATTCCATGATGTGTGTGTACTGTATGCAGTGCATTGACCTTTCCGTGAAATTCCTACCTAAGGAATTCAGGCAGCTTACTTGAAATACTAAACTTGGGGGGTAGCACACCCTCAAAGAAGAGTAACATTGGTTATGGTAGGACTGTTGCAACAAGGTATTTTTTGCACCCAGTCTCCCTGCACAGTCAAAAGAAAGAAGTAGGTGGTTTTTTGAGGACCTAAAGCCAAACATCAGACTGCCCGAGGCTTCAAACAAACACACAGGCTGCACGTGGATGCCTGGTTTGTTTTGACACTTACGCCTGAAAAATAAATACTGCACTGTTCAGAATGCTGAGCACTCCGTGTGGCAGGCATGTACGGCTCTGTTTTGATGATGAGACTAAACAGAGCTGGAGGATGTGTCCAGTCCATACAGTTAAACTGCTGCCCTACCGTTTCACACTATGTAAGTAGGACTCTTCCATCTAATACACATATATGATTTCCCAAAGCCTGTTACAAATATGCAGTCTGCATGTGGTTTTATTTTGGACTGTGAGAAACTGGCATGATTTTTCTTAAGCCTGAAGTAAATGTCCAAAAAGCATCAGATGAATACTACCCATCATGTACATATTTGCCTCTGCTGACGAGGGCAAAAACTGTGGCTGATAAGATCCAATGCAGAAATCTATATCATAAATATATAAGTTTAGGTGATCTGAGGCAAATGGCATAGTGCTAAACGATGGAAAATTTTTTGACAGCCTAAGCTAATTCAGTGGAACCACGTGACAAATAATGACCAAAGGTAAGATGGTTTTTTTAACTCCTATATTAGATAAAAATGGACATTAAAATTCTATTCTTAAAACAGCCCCAGAGTCCCAGACATATCAAATTGGAGCAATGTAAGACAGCTCAAAGAGAGAAGTAAGAAGCACATGGAGTGCTGCAATTTATTCAGTACAGTCAGTTCTGAGCACTGGTGTCTGCAGGTGGAGCAAATAATTGATAGTACCCAATCATATTGTTCAGCAGAACAGTTCCTCAACTCAATCCATCTTTCAAGTAAAGGTTAATAGATTGGCAATCCAACATCCCAAGGGCTTCATTTCTAAGATAAATAAGTGTGATAAGGGAGAAGGGTATGTAGTAAAAGGAGTGCAGAATAACAGTTGATGAGCAAGAATGAAATCTTTGAGGAGGGGGTATTGATCTTCAGAGGACACATAGCACAATATACTGGGATGAGGAAAAGCACAGAGAGCTATGATCACTGGGGAAAGCTGTGACCAGGAACATGTTAAAGCCAGGTTGCAACACTGACTGCCTGGCATGAAGAACAAGGATTCTACATATGAAAAAGGAGAAATGTGGGAACAGTTTTTGAGGAAGGAAGACATCCAACATCTTCTGGGTGGAAGAATGGGCACCTGGACTGCATGAAGAGGATGAGAGGCACAATATTGTGCCCGTGCCACAACAAAGGATAGGACAGAAATTCATGACAGGCAATACAGGATTTGCAAGAAGCTCCAGAATATGGAGTGGAGCAATGCAGGGAGTCTTCAGAATGGCGCAGAACCAATTTCAATTGGTTTGAAATGCATGATGTCTTGGTATGATGTCTTGACTGGTATGTAGCACACAGACCTTCCAGTGCTTTTCAAGTTTGAAGTTCATTGCCACTATTAACCTTTTCAGCAGTGCTATGACACAAGTAAGTCCACAAAATTATTTAAAACTTATATTTTTTCACAGAATCTGTATGATCAGCAAAGTTTTGAAAAAATTATAATGTATCATGATAAGATTAACCTAAAATAACCAACATATAAGTTTTTTTCTGGAAAAATACAGCCTGTATGGAGTCAACCAGGTCTTCAATATGAGAGTAACATTGAACAACTGTTTTTAATGATTCCAAATACAGACCAGAAAAGCTAGCCCAACACTACTAACCTTCTTTTGTTCCTTATTGTGCCTGGACTTCCTTACCTAAAGGAGAAAATTTTGCTGCTTGCAGTTATTAGGTCAGCAGAAAATAATTTCCCTTGGTGTCATAAAACTGACACTATTTTCTCAGCAATAAAAGAAAGCCAAAGTATTGCATGGTACAGCTGAAAGCTTTGTACTCTGGAAGTACAAAGGAAGTCCCTGTCACATTGATGGCAGTGACAAATCTCCCATTAACTTCATGGGGCCAGGATTATTTCTAAACATTTGCTTAAAGTTTTTTAGTTGACCTATAACATCTGTGTTACTTGAGGTAGATCACCTCTAATCAGGGCTGTATTTTGCAGAATGTACAATTTGTGCTGGATTAGAGTACAATGTGTTAGAAACCTGGAAGGGTCCCCAGTCAGGAAGATGATGGCATGGAAGGATGAGACTGGTTATGCTGAAATACGCCAGTGACAGCACAATGGCCAAAGTTTAATCCTCAGGATCCAAACCACTTGAACCAACTATTCAGCTAAACTGAACCACCACATCTCCAGGGTTTCTTTTCTAATAAGAAATACTTATTGTTGATTCTTAAATGAAAATCAAACAAAAGAAATAATGCTAGTATTTATGATCTTCTTACTTAAATTTTTTCCTAGTGTTTTTGGAATTGTTTTGAATTTGTCCTTTTTTATGATGATATATAATGGAGGAAGTTTTCCATCCTTTGCAATACTAAGGGGCCTGAAAAAACTAATGCTCCTGTATTCAAGCAAAAATATTTATCGTACATTCCTTCTAAATAGCCTTTTATTATGTCTTTAAAACATGGGTGTGTTTTAAAGATTTTATTTATTTAATAGAGTGGTCTTCTGGGAAAGAAATAATCTAATCATTAACGCTCAAAAGCACTGATTATTGCCATAGAACATATGACTGTTCAATTTAAAATATCTTTCTATTTCAAAATCACTTTTACCTTTTTATTTTTTTAACATTCAATACAACTTCTAAATTGTCAGAACTGAAGGAAATTATTTGATTTTCTGTTTGCTTCAGCATCCATTCTTTGTAGCCTTTAGATTCACTAAAAATTTCAGAGTTTTAGCCTTGGTCTGATCCCAAAAAATTATTTTTTTTTACTTTTTGGAGTTCATCATTATCTGCTCAGCTGTACACCCTTGGCACTGCCTCTTGCTGCTTCGTCATTTTATGGTGAACTTTTCTGTTCAGTTCAGCGCACTGAGATGGAGGAGGACTCATCCTGATTTTCCTATGGGGTGCAGGAAGAAATAGCAGCCTGGTGAGAAGTTCCCTTTTAAACTTGTTGCCATAGTAACAGGCAGACAGTCTTCCTCTTTCCATAACCTCCAGATTGGGAATTTTTCAAATCAGGGTACTGCCTCTTTTCTGCCTGGCTGAGCTCTGTTTTGGATCTGTGACTACCATTACAAACATTAATTGCCTTTTCCCACAACTATTAGCACCCAGATTTTCCATGTGGCAGTGAAGGGTCAAACTGTGATCCCTACTCCTGGTACAAGGTGATAGTGTAAGTACTCCCACTCTGAGCAAGTTTGAGAAAGGATGTCTTAATATGCTGGTGTCTGGTGGGTTTTTTTGTGTGGGTTTTTGTTTGTTTGTTTGCTTTTTTGTTTGTTTTTGAGTTTTTGTTTGTTTGGGCTTTTGTTTGTTGTTGTTGCTGTTGCTGTTGTTTTGTGTTTTTTTTTTTTTTTTTTAATCAGGAGAAATTACATTGTAAAAAGACAGAAAAAACATATGACTTTGCACAATTAAAGGTGACAACTGAACTCACCATCAAAAGCTGGGATCATATTATCAGCATTTGCTGGTGTTTATCCTGCTCCACTGCTTACTCTAGTGCAAATCCCCTTAAGAAGACAGACCAGGTCAGTCATCTATGTGCCCAGCACTGTGAGAAAAAACTGTGGCCATTTACCTCTATGCTGGAAGTATCTCCACCACCCTGGTTGTGCCAATAAATTGTCCCACTCCTGACAGAGCCTAAGCAGCCTATAATGAATGTGGAGGTAAAGCATGGTTGACTTTTTTTACGGGGAAATGGAGAGCACATCATTTAAGCTGCTCATCATGGGGAAACATTTAAAAGGCTGCACATTTTATCCTGTTGAAAAGGGACAATACAGTGAAGACACTCATTGAGGAAGGCAGGCGTTGCAAAGCAGTCAGATGAGTCAGTCTCTCATCTCTCTTGCAGCTGTTGCACTCTTTATGGGAAAGCAAACGTTGCATGTCAGGGATGCACCCAGGTGTTACAGAGGTCAGCAGGGCATGAGGGAGAGAAAAATGTCCCTCCTTTACTAACATCCCACGTGTGAAATAATTTAGAACAGAAATATTTTGTTTATGAATGCATAAACCTGTTTGTATTCTGTAATAGAAATGAATGAATAATTCATAACAAACATCCTATTTGATTAATCTTGCATCCATCCTTACAAATATCTTCCCCTGTTTGTGAATTGACCTTGGGCCTAATGGGATTTTTGCAGAGTTATCTGACATTATGAGGTATTTAATTTTTAGAAATAGCTTCTGGTCTGCAGATTGTTAGCAAGCATTTGTTGCCAACAGCTTATAATTAAAATGCAGGACAGTTAGCATGTTTTTATGTGATGCTTAGGCCATATGACTTGATTTTGTGATATGATTGGAAGTAAGTCACAGAATAAGCTCTGAAGCATAACTAAAAGGAATTTAAAGTTCAAAATTTATTTTCTCAAAAACATTTTCTATTATTTCATTAGCATTTTCTGTGATCTTGATCATCTCATCAGTACACTTCTACACTGCAGTTTCTGGGTACTGAAAAAGAAGGATATGAAGAGCAATTATTTAGACATATGATGGAATAACAGTAATAAAAAAAGGCTATTTTTTTGCTGTATCTATTCATCTAGTCACAATAAGCAAATAATAGGGTGACAGTGAATCATAATGGGATAGCTCATGTTTAAAATGTCTTGTAGGTTTAAGACACTTTTATATGGCCATACCAAACCCTCTGGCTACATATTTTTATTACATGACAGAAAGATAGCCCTGTGGTTAGAGGATTAACTTGGGAAATCTGCAGCTGGGTTTTCCTGTCCAGCCATGAAGTCTTTGCATGATTCAGGATATGGCCATGGCTTTGCTGGTTGCCATGAAGAGACTCAGCCTTGCCTCACTGGGTTGCAGTTAACCTTTTTGGATATCTCTTGTAGACTCCCTACTTCAGTTTCCCATAACAAAAGAATAAAAGTAACTTCTGTACCTCTGAGGATTAGTGTCAGAAACCAGGGAAATATTCAGTCTCTGGGATAATGCCCATCTAAGAATTTAGAATAGAGTGTTTGGTATTGTGCCTATTAATTATATGTATGAGTGTTGCTGTTGCAATTTACTCTATGTGGCCAAGCCCTGCTTCTGACTGAAGTTCCACCAACTCCAGTCAAAGTCTACGCGTGTTTAACCATCCCTGGATGCTCTGGAGGAAGGTGGACTGAGTCATGATGGCCACAGAAGAGAGTCAAGAGCTCATTGTCAACCCCTTCTCTGTCCTTGGGAAAATTGCCTAAAACCCTTGAAAAGTGTGAAGTGTTCAGACACTGGCTGCACTGAGTAAAGCTAGATAATTTGGTAGAAGGGGAGACAGACTGAAAAGTCAGGCCTTTATTTATGCTTTTATTTCAAGAATGGTTATATCCTTTCTTCCTTTCAACACATACGGTCATAATGTCATGATCATACAATCAACAGTGATTGAATAACCATAAGTTACTGTCTGACACTTGAACCTTACCAATTAATCAAAAGCACGACTGCATCAACTCTGAAATAAAAATACACTTTTGTAACCTGCCCTTAAACTCCTTTAGAGTTTACTTTGCATTTGGGGCAGGTTAAGAGCATTATTAGTAACTGCAACCTGGTTTACCGGTTTCAGCCTTTTTCATAACATCAAATTAATATCTGTTCCTGTAATTTACTGAAAGAAAAAGACTTTAGTGCAAGTCCTCTTTCTTTGCCTGACATTAGAAGTGGTTATGCGTAAAACTGAAGCAAAATAAATGTTTTCCTTACCTATAAAAAGGAATTAAAATAGTTTTCCAATAATCTATTTCTCCCTCTTTATTCTGTGCATGTTACCTGTTAAAATCTGTATTTACAGAGAAGTTCATCCCATTTTCCATGTTCACATTTCTTTAACTATTTGAACACCATTCAAACATGGCACTTTTTCTACGTCTCTTGTTAAGATTGCACTATTTGCTTTTAACACACAAAGCAATATGTTGCCTTATGCTAAAGTAAATAATCCCATGAGAAATTTCTAGATAGCATAGAAAAGAGCAGTTTTACAAAATGTTTGTTTTCTAATACACTAACATTATTCAATATAAATAAGATAATATAAACTCCAGCTAGACAAAAGCTGGGAATTAGAAGAACTTCAGTTTCCATGACTTACAGTGAGCTGCATGAGATCATGCATGTCAGATCTCTTGCTCTGCTACCTTTATGTAGGGATAGCTACAATTTTGGAAGAATTTGTGATGGAAAGCTAGAACTTGATTTTGCTTAGGAAGACTGTAAAATGCCTTCTCAAAGGGATTAGATGTTTTTTTCCTTCCTTCTGCATTTCAGAGAAAGTTGCAGGGAGAAGGTGTGAGCAAGCTGTCTCTCTCTCTGGTATGCAGAGACACACCATGTCTGCAGACACGAACAAGGCCTCCTCGGGCCAGGGAGGGTGGGGGAGGAGAGAGAGAGAAGACAAAAAACCTTGGAGGAGGTGGGGCATTGCCTTGTTTTTGCCTGGGGGCCTGGTGAGTGCAGCATTGTTAGGAAGTGGTCTTTGCATCTGAAAGAAACGTTTTTTAATCCTTCCACTGCCTTGGTATTCTTGGGAAGAATATCTGCTATGTTTTATCTTACACTTCAATAGTTTGTTTATTTGAGATATTACTAGTGAAAATAACAGAAATTTGGGGGGTGTGTGTGAATCTTGCTATCACCCTGAACTCTGTTGACAAATAAATGTTAATGGAAAAGCTATAAAATATTGTTTTCAAGAACAGACTATGAACACATGGATAAGCTTTTTTTGAAGGAATCCATTGCACTTCTGCCTGTTTTATCTAATGGGGTCTTTCATAGAATCAATAGTGTAAAAGAGTTGAGATCAGTCCCCTCCCTTGATACCTTTTTCCAATTAAGGCAGTGGATCATTTTATTAATAATATTATTTAATGACTATTCAGCATTCTCACTCTGGTGAGATGCTGTGCAAACATTAATTAATCCCCACCAAAGCCCCGAAACCTTGCTAGGAAATACTAAACCCATTTTACAAATAAGGGCCTGGAGCCAGAGATTCTTCAGTACCAGAGAGACCATAACTTGAAGCTCCTTGGGACAGTGAGAGTTTAGAATAATGAATGGCCCTGCAGTTAGAACTACCTTAAAGAATATCATCTTGACTCTGCCTTGACTTGGAAAACTATTTCAGCTTGCCAGGAAAACTCTTTCTGTGTTTTCTTCAGGAATGAAGGTCCCTAGCAGTCCTTCAGATTGAGGCTGTTCACACCAAACAATGAAGCAGTCATTGGGGTATGTATATACAAAAAGAGCGAGCCCATTTCCATAGCACAGCGATTACAGTATTCACCCACAATCAGATTTCTCTCCAATGAATATTTAACTTTATACTTGTGCAACAGCAATAAAAACTGGAGACTGAGAAATATCTAATAGTTTGCATTTTTTCACTAATGTTATATTCAGTTAATGGATCTGAACTCACATCTTCAAGTGACAGAACACAATACTAGAGGAAAGGCAGAAGAACAGACAGATATGTCCTATCCATAGGTAGAGGTGTAACACACTAGCACAGCTGTAACTACAGAGCTTGTCTACACAGAATATAACTAACTATCCAACAACTTTTATAAAAGCCTTACCAATTTCAGTGATTTTCTCTAGGGGAGAATGGAACTCGTATGTTTTTACTAATGGTATGCAGTGTGAGACACTGAAATGGTTAATGTCCTAAATATTGTTAAAACCACTGAAAGACTTGTTCACTGTAGCAAACTGTGCAAAGAAGCAATTGCTCACTGAAGCCCAGACCTCCCTGAAAATGCCTACTGATTTGGACTGTGATGGGAACTTGAGATAAGATAAAGGTGGTACCACTGACAATTATCCCAGGTCTAAGGAGAAGAAGGTATCCAGAAGGGTGAGAAACTGGAATGCTAATGGCTCAAAATCAGGCTACAGGCTGGGCGTTTAACAAGATAAGGAAAGAGGCAAGTCCTGTGAATCGAATTCTTACACAAGTGACTCCGCTGTGGTAACTCCCCTCTGGGGAAGCACCCGACATTCATATGAAGCCTGAAGTTATTCTTCTCTGCTGGAGGGCCATAACGGGCCACAATTGACTCAGCTGTGCTCACATAACAGGCAGCTGTAAACTCTTAAAAGGTGTCAAAAACTCCTGAAATGTCCGTGATCCAGTACTACATCATCCAGTGTAAAACTCTCAGCCCCAGGGGACGTTTCCACCTATTTTAAGCATAATATACACCCCTATGGACTCTGTTTTGTGGGCTTCTCTCACCATCTTGGATTTCCCTCGATGGAGCCAGGCTTCAACCATCACTTTGACAAGACTGGAACCCTCACCACTGAGAAGGCGAGAAGAAGATTTCCGTCATAATTCATGGAGTGGTGATATTTTTCTATTTAATCTGTCTCTTTTTTACTCTATGTCTCTTCCCCTCCCCCCATCCTCTTTTTTCCCACTCCTTTCTATCTTTCTCTATCTCCCATTTACTGTTAAATAAAAATCCATACTATTGACTTGGGCATATAGTCTCATATGAACCTTAATTTGGGCAGTGGCATCTCTCTAATAATTTTAATAACCCAATCATAACATTTAATCCATGTGTTTTGGCCACCTACAGTTTGGTAGTTACGTCAGGAGGACAGGACTGTCTTCTGCAGATATTAAAACCACCCATCTCTTTCCACGTATGATCTAGAGATCTTTGGTACTTAGTTTCAGAGAACTCCAACAGGGACACATAATTGAGGAGCAAAGACAGATTGTTCCTTGCTCTTGCTTTTGGCATGGGTTTTTTTCAGTCCTTTTGCCATAAATAGCTGAAATTTTTTGAAAGAAGCTTAATTTATTTGTAATCTGGCTGTGATTTCATTTTTTGGCTTTCCTGTTTCTTCTTTCTGACTAATCCCCTATCTTCTTCTTAGTCAGGGTGCTGTATGATTGATCAGCTAGCACATATCTTTGTGTCAATCTTTATTGCCTATTTTATATGAGGACCCTTGCTCCTACAGACACCTGAAATTTAATACTGTTGACTTTTATATCATTTACTCTGGTTTCAGAAATCGTGCAGTTCTTTCTCAACCAAACAGGAAGGAGAACAATTTTGACATACTTCTAGGGCATGATTTATCTCACTCTACATTAAGCTTCTTAAGTAGGCCAAACCTCCTATGTCCTGGAAAAGCCTATCACTATTCATTGACTCTAAAGGAACTCCAGAGATCTACAGTTTAGACATCTACTACTGAATTACTTTCCAGCTCTTAGATTAGATTCTAACCCATCTGAACTCCTTTCTGTGTGCTGTGAAATGGGATATCAGGACAAAAAAACTCCAAATGTCCAAGAAGGCTGAGATATTTGCTCATTTCGTGACTCCTCCATAGGATCCACTTGTGGGATTCCTAGAAAGCCTCATGTTTAACAATATCTTCCTGCTTACACTGTTTTGATTACAGCAGAAACTGCCTAAAGGTTCTTCAGCCTCTTCTTAACATATCCTTCTGTCAGGTCTTCGGGTCTGGACTTATCCTGTAGCTTTTTTCACTTTTTTTGAATATTAAGTCCAATACAGATATTTTTACACTGAACATTTATGGAACTCCCTGATTTGAGTGTAACTGAGTGACAACACTACTTGTTTTAGAAAATCCTGTTCTAAGAGATTGTTCAAACATAATGACAATCCCTGCCTAAATTCATGCTCCTTGTTCAAATTGCTGCGTACTTTTCCTTAATATAGCAACTATGATTTATCTTCCTAGCAATGTGCAACAATACGGTCAGGCAGAGAGCTTATAGGATTCTTGTCAACTACAACAATATCCTAATAACACAAAATAAACTGTTGCAGTGTTTTAATGGGAGCATATGCACAAAAAGAGAAAAATTACACTGACTTCTGAAATGTAAGTAAGCTCACGCTGAATAAAGGGAGGTTTAGCTAGCAAACATACAGGAACCACTTTCCATATTTCTCTTCCAAAAAAACCCATGTAAAGTAATTGCATATAAATCAAAATTTTGATGGATTTCACATAAACCAGTGAGAATCTGGATATGAAAATACAGGAATAGAAACACAGTTTTGCACAATCTAAAGGCATTTTACTACTAGCTTCGTAAGACAGAAGTATCAAGATTTCACTTGTGGGATTTAAGATTTTCTGATTTCTCCTTGCTTCTGTTACTTTTTCAAATTGAAAAGGTAATGTTGCAAACTCCACCTGCAATAAGTATGTTCTCTAAGGGGTAAGACAAAAAGACAAAAGAAGGAAGGTTGGTAATTCTTCTTTTGAATTCTTGGTTACGTGTGTGTTACCCAAATCAGGTGGTTTTTTTCGCTTTCCATTCTCTAACCTTATAGAGCAGGTGAGAAATTCCCAGAAGGATTTTACTGAGAGGTTTTTGGCCACTCTCACTGATACCACGTGGTGCCATGCCCGCTGTGGGCTCTGTGGCTGAAGAGAGGCTGTACCCCAGTGCAGCCTCCTGCTGCCTGACCCCGCGGCTGTGCCCAGCCTCTGGATGCACAAGCAGTACCAGTTATCTGAGAGATGGTATCTGTACCTAGCTCCTCCTCTGGCGTCCCTGGAAAACTGAAGCCCGACTTGAGCAGATCGCCACCCTCTTCTTCTGAAAAGACAGAAACAAAGTAGCTATTTAATAACTCTGATATTTTTCTACATCCGGACATAAACTCTCCACTAGTTTTTAAATCCACCCAGTGATATCTACTGCCATTCAGTATCTCTGATTACGTGAAGCTGCTGAGGTGCTATTATCCGCAGTATATATGCCTCTTTGCCAATTGTTCTAGTGCTCATCAATTATTATTAATTTTTTAATTTTGCCATTTTCAAATCACTAGTGTCATAATATTAATAAATGTCTTTTTTATAAGATCTTTTACATTGTTCTTTTCAACGTTTCTCAGTCACATTGAATTCTACTGCCTTTTAGGCTTCATGTATTTATTCTAGAAGAATCCTTATTGTCAGTCCTTCCAATTGCACCTTTAGCACTTTACACTTACGATTCTCAGGCCACTTCTATTGCCTTTTATACACAATCAATTCTGCCATTGTGAACTCTGACAATGCCGTGATGTTAACTTTGTCCTATCAGTAACATTTTCTTTTGTGCCAGACATCACTTCTGTAATTCTGGAAAAGTACTTAAATGCAGGTGATACGTATGAATGCAGAAACCACCTAAATGGCCTGAGTGCAGCTCTGAGCTACCGTGCTTATACCTCTTTCAGAGTTGCAGTTTATTGCCTCTGCATTGCCTTCCTGTCATCCTGGAATACAAACTGCCTTTGGACCAGGCACTTAGTTTAGATATTTCTGTAACAGAGCTTCATATGGAAAATTGAGTCAGTAAAACTTCTGTAAATTGCAAGATTAGTGTAAGAATACATAGATTAGGATACAAAATATCACAGTAACATGTTTCATGTATTGACCCAATACTATATTTTTAATGAGTTTTATGGGTTTTTTTCCTATTTCCATATTTGCTGGTGTCTCAGTATATGAGTATATGCAGCCTTTTACTTTATTCTTCTTTTCCGTCTGTGTGTGTTACAAGCACAGACCCCTGAGAAGAGCTATGGAGCACTCCATAGCCTCTTGCTCTAAGTTCAACCATCAGCTCTTCAGAGAAAGATAAAAATCAGGTATTGCAGACCATAGTTTTTGCAATGCACAACTGATGACTGATGACTTCTAAATAACTCGCATCAGTTCTTGTTACCGTACCCTCAGGCAGACATTCCCGAAAGTTTAAACCAACTCAGACTTTTCTTAAGAGTATCTCCATGTCTGCATCAGACAAGCTGGGTTTTTTCGTGTAGCTTACAATAGGCACACTGTTTTTCCCATTTCAATGCTCCATTTAACAAACACATGCATTTTACATATTTCTTGGTCTTGGTTACACTTTTTATTTGTACTCCAATTTTTTTCCCCAATTATCTCACAGGAAGCAAAACGAGTTAATGTACTCATGTGGATCTCTCAAGCAATTGCTCTGAGATTTTAACAATTCCTGAGGTTAAGAATATATAATTGATAACAATGGGTAGTATAGCACAAGGATGTTAAGACTGTTGGATAGGTTGAGCTGTCAAATGAACATCTTGTTTATAAACTCAATTGTTAAATAAACTCACTCTGCAAAAATACAGTCTACAAGAGATCTCAGTAAGTGACAGATAAAAAGTCATACATAATTTATAAAATGACTGGCATAT